CTCTTTCTTTTTCTCTATCTCTCTACTCTCTCTACTCTCTCTCTTTTTCTCTTCTCTCTCTTCTCTTCTCTTCTCTTCTCCTCTCTTCTTTTCTTTTCTTTGCATTTTGGAGTCCAGGTAAGTCAGAGGGTTTTTTAAATATATATATGTAAACATTTTTTTAATTGAGTTATAGTAATTTTATAATGTTGTGTCAAATTCCAGTGTAGAGCACAATTTTTCAGTTATACATGAACATACATACATTCATTGTCACATTCTCTTTTGCTATGAGCCACCACAAGATCCTGTATATATTTCTCTGTGATGTGAAATCTCTTAACTTCTTGGCAAGAGCCTTCATGGAAGTTGCACTGCTGTGGTGAAGACACTCTGAAAAGGTGTGTGTGTGTCTGAAATCTCTTAATAGTAAAACACCTTCTAGGTCAGATACAAAGCTTTGGGTCTTTTAGAGCTTCATAGTAGATTTGGTAGCAAGGGTCCTTTAATATACTTCTCTATATCGTGTCTGTTTTCAGGTTATCAAAGCATACTCAGCTACTTTGTGTATTTTCTCTCTTTTATGATATTTTTCAGAACTGTTATTTTATTTACTTGCATTATAAGCTAATGAACAAGGCAAACAAATATTATGCCTATTTTACTGGTCACGAAATTGGAGATAAGTGTCTCATTTAATACATTGGGTGGGGGTTTTTTACTTGAACATGAGTTTTTGGCTACCATCATATTTGCTTTCTGTTACTTCGCTGCTGCCTCTAAGAAATAATGCAGAGTAGTCACAGGAAAGCTAATGAGGGAGGATATCTTCAGGTGGGTCAGCATATTCAAAGCTGCAAAGAAATTGTAGGAGAAGTTCTAGGGAGATGCTTTTTTGTTGTTGTTAATCCAATTGCTGCTTATCTTTGAAAAATAAGTTTAAGGAGTGATATGATAAAACCAGATTTCTAGAAATTAACAATAAGACTGGAAAATGCAAAATAAAGAAATGAAAGTGAAGAATACAGATTATTCTTACTAGAGGATTAGAAGAAGAGATGTGATGGTAACATAAGAAAGTAGTACAAGGGAGAAATGGCTAGTTTATTTTAAGATAAGTAAGACTTGGTCAAGTTTAGAAGTTAGAGGAATTTGGTGGTGGAGAGCAAGAGATTGAAGACAAAGAGTAAAAAAATTGAATGGGTAGAAATTAAGACTGAGCCAGTCTAAGAAAACACAGATATTGCTTCTATCAGAGAGAAGAGGAAAATAGAGCATTGTGAATACTAAGAAAATCTGAAATATGTATTTTCAGGTGGGTTCATTTTCTGAGTAATACAAAAAATTATTGGCTGAAAAGAAGAGCTAGATGTTGAGAAGGGTTAAAGTAAAATTCAGAAATGCCATTTTAAATAATAGGCTGTGAAATTTTATAGAAGTTAACAAGTATTGAGAAGCATTGAGTCTGTGGTGTTTTATGAACCATAAGCATGCAGAAGGAAGATTTTAGGATGAGGTGAGAGCATAATCATGGGAATAGTTTATTGAGCATTTTACTATATACTAGATACTGTTCTAAGTGCTTTATGTACATTATTTCATATAATGCTGTAAGGTAATAATATCATTATTCTCATTTTACAGATGAGAAAAGTGAGGCATTGAAATATTTGGTAACCTCCCAAGGTCACATATTAACAAGGGATGGTTGTGGAATGTAAACTTGGGTTGTCCAACTTGTATTCTTAAACACTATGTTATACTTCTGCATTAGATTAGGAGAGGAAGTGGAGTAGAAAGTGTGAGGCAAGTACTGAAATTCTTAAGAAATGTGGAGGTATGTCTGAAAGTCCACATGATAACAATAAAATCAAAAAAAGAATGTTATAATAGGATAGCATAATTTTCATATAAGCAGCACATTTTGGATGAAGGTAGAAGAATAGTGAGTGATCCAGAAGCAATCACAGAGAGTGAAGAAATGCTGAGAGTTGATAAGAATGAGAGTTGAAAAGAATGAAAAAATCCTCCATAGGAGAGGTCATGGGGAAATAGTGGGGAAATCAGGGGCAAAGCTCACTTAACACAGGAAAATAGAGGGCAAATATGTATGAAAATTTAAAAAGCTTTAATGATGGGGTGGAGTTAGCAGTGTGTTGAGGCAGTGGAAGCAGGAATGAAAACACTAAAGAAGAAAATGAGGATTTATTCATTAAACAATCAAAAACTAATTGAGTTCCTTCATGTGCCAGGCACTGTTCTGCATGCTGAGGATACAGATATGAAAAAGACATAGACTCAAGTAACAAAGCTGATTAGGCTCAGAACAACTCTGCTGCTGAATCCTATGCAAATTACACTCATTTCTTCCTTCAGGATTCCCAAACATCAGTCCATTACAGCATGAACTCTGAGTCTGAGTTCAGGTGTACATGAGTCTCCCAGGTGCAGTTCTTATGGTACAGGTCCTTGACTACCTTTTCTCTTGGCAATGATGACCTTTGAAGTAAAGAAACAGGTTACCAGTCTCCTCTCCCACATACTCAACGTGTTATAGTGGGAAAGGCATAGGAAAACCACAATGGACACTGCCATTCAAATACAGGGAAAACAGGTTACACAGCCATCACTTGTCTGTGGCAATTCTGAATCTGATTCCTTGATTAAGTCTCAATACTATGGTGTAGGAATTGTTGTCTATGGCTGTTAGTTCTGCCCTCAGATTCATTCTTCCTTTTCCAATAAAAGAAACCTATGTTTACAGCTGAATTTCTTTCTTACCTGCTTACAGTCTGCAAAAGATTAGGGTCAAATGACCTCTTTTCATTTTATATTATCTCTGTTCCTTCAAGTTCAATTCGATTTATTTTCTTTTAAAACTCTGTGGACTGTTTGTGTTTCAATTTATACTTCACTCCATTAGATGAAAGTTTATATTCCAGATAATCTCTTCTCTACCTTGTGCTCCTTATGAGACTTCTACAAGACAATGTCCTTGAGATTCTTACAGACCCTATTGTTGAACAGGGAGGATCTATGAGATATGCCCTTATATCCTCAGAGGGATTTCTATGCAGCACCACCTGAGATTTGTCTTAGGTTTTAACAAATGGTCCTGCCTCCCACCTACATTTGGTCATTGGCCCTCTTATTGGAGGACTGCTTGCCATTTGGAGCAGCTTGAGGGTGTTTGTAACTGGCAGTGTCATTCATGGATATAGAATATGTATTTTCTCAGAAAATCACAGTTAAGTATGGATGATAGTTCCTTTTTTGTGTTTATTATTATTATTATTATTAACTAGATGAGTTAGTGCAAAATAGGTCTCATCCTGACCAAAAGAAAAAAATTTTATTATATCCTCTGATTTAATTTAAGTATGAAGGCAACTTATTAGTAAATCTATATTCAACAGGATTTTACAACTCAGCCAGAAAAGAAGGATTCTCTTTCCAAGGAGAATTTTACTAATGTCTCCATGACTACAGATTTATATGGAATAAAGAATAATATTGCTGTAGTACTAGGCTCATTAAATAAAGATTAACAAAAGTCCAGTTCTTGCTTGGTAAATTTGCTAAGACTCATATTTGTTTCCCTTATTGCATCGAGCAAAGGACCTTACATAATCATAGTTGTGACTCAGTTACAAAATGAATGAATCATTAAATGAGTGGATGAATGAATATTATCTTTAAAAGAAAAATCTATAATGGCAGAAAAATCCCTTATGAAATAGTTAGATGCCATCAAAGATAGTGTTTTCTTATCTGCCTTTCATTTAATTTTAACCTTCACAGGGGAATTTTTCCATTTTATGGTTACTAGGCAACCTGTTAATTTGAATCACTTAGTGCAGGCTTTGCTCACTATGGATGCTCAGTAAAATCCATTTTGATTAATGAGCAATTTACAACACCACCAGTGAACACTGTTTCCAGTCCTGTTGGATGAGAATAGATGATCTCTGATACACAGTCAATATTTCCATGCCAGGATAGTGTGGGTCTTCGTTACCTTTATTTAATTTGCTAATAACCACTGGACTGTGGTCAGCCTGAAACGAAAATGTCATCTAATGAATAATCCTCCATTCCACTACACCTCCCCCAGTATCCTGAAATGCTGAGTAGTGTGAGGGTGATTCTGTAACTTATTTATATCAAAATATTTTTTGCAGCAATGAAGCTTTCTTAATTCTAATGCCAAATTTTTGAAATTAAAAAAATTCAGCTTGGACTAATGTTTATCTCTGCTAAGCAAGTGGGTAGTGTCAACATGATTTCTGTGGGTATGTTTAACTCATTTAAGAGAGCAAACTATTTTTAAGCCCCCCTGGAAGCATTCTTCAACATACAAATACTGGCCATGCTGATAAGAACCATTTTTATCAAATAGCAATTATTTATTTGGCATTTGCTCTGTGCTCAGTGCTGTCTTAGCTATTTATTAAGGCAGAGCTCTATGCGGTAAATTTGTAACCCAGTGTTAGTTTATAGAGGGCAAAGAGAGAAAACTAGGTCAGCAGTGTCAACAGTTAAATCCTGGTAAGTTAAATATTCCTTCATCCATATGGACAGTTCACCAATTTGAAAATGTAGTCATCGCAGTCTACTCAAATTGGTGGAAATTTGTCATATTTGGAAAACAACATCCTAAACAAAAAATTATCCGCTTTTTTCTCAAATCAATTTTGGTTGTATTGTGTATGAATAACATGAATTGTAGAATCATAAGATTTCTTAAAATACAATGAACTCTTATTAAAGTGATTGTGTGGGGGATATAAGCTTTTTGTGATG